TCTTAACAGCGCGTTTTAGAAAATACCACAAATGGCGCGGTAAACGCCATCTGTAGTACGATGCTACATTTTAGGATTACGTATGCTCCAACAAGGTCCATTTAAATATATGGATATCTACTTGCTGAAACGAATCTCGGCGTAGCTAACCTTAACGTGATATGCAAGTTACCATAACGTACTACAGATGGCGTTTAGCGCGCCATTTGTGGTATTTTCTGTAAATGTTTGGGTCAATTCTTACCGTAATATCCGTATTTGTAATGAGCCTGTCATTCAATAGCCACGTGAGTTTGGCAGGCGGATAAGAGCCTGATGTTTCGCATTTCACGGTATGAGCTTTATTGACAGACATTAACGCATTCGGTGTAACAATCTTCACCTTGCTTGGCCTCACTGTAAGAGAAACACAATTATTTTATATATATATGTAGTTGTTGATCGGAGGGTTGTTATGATCCAAAGAAAACTATCAAGACGAAATCTTTTTATTTCAGGACGTTTAGTGTTCTATTAGCACTTCATCAGGTGCTCATATAATAAAAGTCGACAGTCATAAAAAGTAATTGTATGCTTCTGGTATCTCATTCATGAGAATCACGAACATATCAATATCGATCATCTTATCACATGTTAAGCTTTATTAGTCACGGAAATTTCGTATTGACAGTTTTCTTTGGGTCATGTACCCTTTGATCAACAACTATATATTCATCATCAAGGTTTTAATTTCTAACCCAATTCAACAAATTATTTTCTACTTTTCTGTTATCATGAACCAGAACGTCTTCAACACCACTATTTATGCCCGCTATCTGTTATATAACTGAAGAACAACAAATCTTGACGCTCATTAATTTGATTATGACACAAAAAAAATCTAATCTTACCCCTTTAAAATTTGTATGCCAAAATTATCAAATTCTTAACACAAAAGTACCAAAACCAATAATAAAATCGTCGACTGTTGTCGTAATTTACTTCAAAAGATTGTGATGAATCAATTGAGTGTTTCAACTAATTACAAATAATATTTTCTTAATTTCCCATGTATGAAAATCTTGAATCGATAACATAAAAAAGCGTTCGAATATTTCGGTTTTCAATTCATTGAACTGCTTCATTCAAATTGGGAAACAAACAACAATGAGCATGTAAAAAACTTGGCGTTAATTTTCATTCTAATTGAAATTCCACGTCGAAGTTACTGTTCCCGTTAGGAAGATAGAGGCGCAATTTAGTTTAGTTCTGTTTTGTTTTGTTTTGTTTTCAATGCTGGGGCAACCGTTCGTAACATGATAGAATGAAAACAAAGGTGGAAATTAAATGTGTAAGCCACCGTGCGCGTTACCTATTTGTTCGTATAGAGGGGTTAACATCAACGGGCGCAATAATGTATCTGCCCGTTTCGGATTCAACCCCTAATTAAGTGGGCATTTTCAAATCATATCAAAAAATTAACAAGGGTAAATAGATACTTTACAAATCAAGAACAGACCGCAACAATCACTGAATTAATATCGCTTTTGTGTACCTTTTAATTTGTACACCATCGCCTAGATAGATATGTATAATAATCTTCAAGTACATGAAAAAATTTGGTTATATACCAATGGCTTACTATAGAATTATTGAACGATTGCGTTTCAATTGGTCAAATAGTCTTTAAACGTCCGATAAGTCACTATCAGCAGTGGTACCACTCGTCAAAATTTAATTTAAGTAATTGAGGACTTTTCAAAATTAAACATGATTGTGGATATTTAGAAAAGCGTTTTTTGTTTCGAAAAAATATCCGTCAATAAATAAAAACAAATCTAAAATTTAAAAATCATCACCGAATGCCACTAAAATCCAGTCTTTGTCTCCTTTTATTCAGCTTGCTATTTTATGTCAAAGATTAAATTAATTTTTTCATGCAAGTGCTTTCTAAATCTAACAATTTATTAACCAAACTGTGTATTATGTGTAAATATACGTTAAGTGGACGGTTATCCTGCGGTAAACTATACATATATTAATTTACTTACGGTAGACCACAAGTCTGACATCTTTATTTAGAGTTCCGGCAATTTCAGCGGATGTTGCCTTACATTCCAACTTGTTTCCCCGTAGGGACCGTTCTACTTTGCTTATAGTCAACTGATTCACTGTAGTAAAGGATTCCCTAGACGTATCCACCACGCTGTCTAAGATGGTGCCGTTATGCCACCACGTTAACGAAGGAGGCGGTCGACCTGCAAACGCCATTAACTAAAAGTTTTTTTAACCCCCTTGATACCATTTACGTTTTCGGCGACACAACGCCCAAGCGTTATCCCAGCATAATGTTCTTAATTTAGTAAGAGAAAGAAAAGATTCATTTGAAAAGAAGATCAATTGATATCTTTATTTATTTTGTTCTGACAACACACTTATAATAGTTTTGGCTTACTTAGGCTAGATAAAAATTTTGACTCTCTCTTCAGTCTCTCAGAGTCTTTCAGAGTCTTTCAGCGCCTCTGAGAGCGTCTCTCGCAGTCTCTCAGTTAATACATAGGTGTTTTTATGGATCTCTCACAGTCTGTGTATGAGAGTCTCGAACGATAAAATTGTTAATTCAGAGTTTCGAGTCTCTCACAGAGAGACTGGATGAAATAAAAGTGAAAAATTGAGAGACTCTAGTCTCTCGTAGAAAGACTGGGATCTCTGAAATATGTTGAACTTTTTTAACCATGCCTATCGAGACACCACTTACTAAGAGATTCGAGTCTCTCGTTCAGAAATTCGAGTCTCTCGTTCAGAGACTGGATACGAAATGAGGATTTCTCTATGAGCGACTCGAGTCTTTCGTTCAGAGACGCTAAACAGTTTTTTTTGAGAGTCTCTCGACAGTCTCTCTCAGCAACACCAGAGAGACTCGAGTCTCGCTTTCAGAGACTCTGAGAGACTGAACATTTTTATCTCGCGTAGTCTTTTTCAAGGGTTCTATCAACTGCTCTTCGTTCTTGAAAAAGGATCAGTAGGATGAAACAATTGAAGACTTAATGTCACATTTAAGTGAACACGTAAACGCAAGGTAGAATTACAGAATTACAACTCGGATTGAATTATCAGGTTCAAACGTTTCGTCAGTTATTAGTCGCTACCGAGACTTCGAGATACAACCTCTCACGTTGTCAATGCCATACCTACTACTGAAGATGTCAGCCGCAGTTTTCAACGAAACGTCTGGACCTACAGGTTCATTTAGACCACTGTCCTTCGTCCCGAATCATAATTCTACCATGATTTTCGACTGTCAAAGCCTAGCATGTTATTGTATTTAAAAGCAATTTGGTTGTTTTGTTTATCTCCATAGTTCTTATTTTTAAAACCTGTAAAATATTATCTACGAATTATGCAAGGGTCACAAAAGTAGGTATCCATTATATTAAATTTTCGTAAAATTTATTAAAAGAGGTTGCAATTTATTATCATTTTTATTAAGAAAAATATTTTTATGTCTTATTCGTATGAGGATATAAAAATAATAATAAGAATAATAAACTTTTTAACGATAATTGTGACTTCTTATCGGAAAATCCATTGAAGTAATTTTCATTTTTTTTCAGTAATCACTATGTATAGGTAATAAACTTAGGAGAAAGTATTGGTTCAAAATGTTACCTATCTCGTCGCTTGTATTTTCTTTATTGTGTGTTAACGAAACTATGCGAAAAACGGGAAATTTGTATTCTAGTTATTGAAAAACAGCGAGAGTATTTTTGTTATTTTGTTTGTTCAATATATTATACTTCGATCAGTCCGGATCAGCAAAAACAGCGGGTGAATAAATTTAAACATTCTAAGTAAGACGCAACCTCCACGGGGAAGAAAAAGATAAATAATGAGCTAAACTAAGGAGCCTAATTTGAATAACAAATTTACCTCCGGTAACTTGGCATGACAGGAACAGTTCCTGACCCTCCAGAAACGGCCCTGCTTCGTCAACAACTTCTCTGCCTTTAGAATCGAAAATTTGTGGCGGCGAGGGCTGAACTACAAAAAAAAAAAACAGAAACGTCAAATTTTTACGATATACTACTAAATTACACGGATAACAAAAAATGAAAGTTTTTTCCAATATCCTCTCGATATAACTACGATACAGTATACATATGCATCAATTTTCATAATCAAATGATATGTAAAATAATGCCTACAGCTATTGATTTATTTTATTTGAAACAGTTATTATATTTAACTTTCTTTTAGCATTTGATTGTTTGGTAATAGCATTCGACGTTCATTGAAAAAGACTGCGGAACTACTGGCCTTCCGCAAATCGGTAGTTGAGTTCCTTTTTTAATTTGAAGCGATACATTTGTCTATAGTTGTAGTTTGTACTATAGTATAGTCGAAATAAGAAGGCAAAGTCCCCAATAAATAATGCACACTAAAGGCATATCGTTTTTCTCGTTCTTACAAACGGAAGATATTCTGTCTTTACTCTCTAAACACGCGTCCTCCACAGGTGCGTCGAGACCTGCACCTACGTTTCATAAGAATCAATCGAATAAAATGAGACGATCGACAACATGTTTGTCTTGTCATTTGTACCTACATAAAATGGGAAAATTTACAGGATCGGCTTAAGGTAGTAGTCGTGCTACAGTATGATGAATAAGTGATTGTAGGATCTAAGATAATTCAATGCAATAATATTTATATAATTTCGATTGTACATCAAAACAGATTGAATGAGTCTGTATTTATACATACCCACACATCTAAAAATATTAATTAAGTTTATCTTAGATCCTA